CTCTAATGTAATAATCTAATAACATAACACTCCAACACACTAAAAAACTTCTTAGTATACTTTTCTCAAGCGTAACACTCACAGTTTGAAAATATACAATTGTCCAAAACTTACTATGAATTTTATATACTCATTTTCCAATGATTTGAAAATTCCCACATCTTTAAGTATTGCATTTAAAAAAAGTACACTAAGAAGTTTCTTTGAGTTTTACGTTGAAGTGTTACATTAAGCAATTTTATTTTATTTTTTTTTGAAAAAGTATAATAAGAAGTTTTTTTTTTAAATCTTACATTAGAGTGTTACACTAACGAGTTTTTTTTGAAGTGTTACATTTAAGTGTTACACTTGGAAAAAATATGTTGACGAGTTTATTTGAAATCTTGCATTTGACTATTACGTTTAGAAAAAATATACTAAAGAGTTTTTTTTGAAATGTTATATTTGAAAAAAAGCATATTAAGGAATTTTTTTTTTAAATTCTTACATTTGAATGTTATAAGGAATTTTTTTTGAAATGTTTCATTTGAAGGTTACGTTTGGAAAAAAAAAAATATACTAAAGAGTTTTTTTTTTAGTCTTATATTTGAGTGTTACATTAATGAATTTTTTTGAGAGTGTTTTAATTAAATGTTACGTTTAAAAAAAATATATTAAAGAGTTTTTTTTGGAGTCTTATATTAGAGTATTACGTTTGAGTGTTACATTAAAATATTACAATTTAAATTATATGTTTACTGAAAACTTATTAATGAGTTTTTATATTTCTTTTGAAACATTTAAAGAATCCCATATTTCAAATTATTTGTAGTACTTTTGAAACGTTTGAAAAAATTTCATATTTCAAATCATTCCAAATAAAAAAAATTCTCATATAAAAATTAATCCCCAATTTGATTCACATATATTGTGTATCTTACCTTTTTAGTAAAAATAAAAACGAAAAAAAAAACATAATAGAAATAAGAGTATTAATCGTAAATCTAATTTCTAAATAATATATTAAATCTTCCTTTTCAAAATCAATAGGACTAATTGATCTATAAAAAAAACTCTTAAAATTAAACAGATCACCATTTCTAAAGATGAAATTTATAAATAAAATTTTCTTTTTTTCAGTTTCTACAAATTTGACTACATACAATAGTAAAATTTTAAAATTTGTAACCAAACTCATTCGAAGAGTATGATAATGTTATACAAATAAATAAATAAAATATTTATAAAACTTATTAATTTATATAACATTATTTTTCAATTTTATTTGATTTCATCACATCTCATCATCTCAAACACGTGCACAAATATAATTTGCAGGCTTTTTGTACACATTTCTTCTCGTCCCATGTCAACACACAGTGGTCTTTTGGCAACATAAATAAAAGCTGCGTTTTTGCAGCAGAAAACGCAGCTTGAGGAAGCTACAAAAAGCTGGATGAGTATTTGGGAAGTATGCAAATTACTATCCTTTTTGGTCCAACAAGTAACTAAATGATCCAAAAAGGGTCAAAAAATAAATTTCCTAAGTTGGATAAGGGTATTGTGATCATTTTAATGTGATGTAATACCATAAACAAATATTAAACAAAAAAATCAAAACTAACTTTTTATCAACTTTCCAAATCACTTTCCAAAAAAGATAAAAGTTTGGTAAAAAACTAAAAGTCAACTTTTTACGAACTTCCCAAAACACTCCACAGAAATTCCATCAAATTTTATGGACTTCCAAAACAATCTATCAAAGGATTTGATTACATCATTCAACATTTGAAAACAAAGTACACAAAACAAGTGACCACATATACTAGCATCATATGATAATTGATAGAATCCAAAAATCAAGTCATGATAACTTTCAATCCACATATAATTAATTTTTATGTAAATTTCAAAGTAATTTATTGTGATTCACTGACAAGGATCGATAATCCACCCTCAACGTACTCAACAGGTACAATACATTTTAAAGTCCATTTTGACAAGTAAAAAAAAAAAGTTAACTTATTGACTTATTAATTTATTTAAGTCACATCGTCTCTTTATTATTTTGTATGTTTTTTTAAAAAAAAAAAACTAAAAAAACAAGGTTCATTTTTTTCCTATTTCCCAAAATAAGCCTAAAGGCTCACAAAATCACAAAAAGCAACCCAACATCAAACCTAACCACATCACAAAGGTGATTGTAGTGGTGCAATTAGAATATTAGAAATGTTATGTACTATTAAAATATTTAGAATTCAAATCTATGGTGCTGGGTTTGTACTCCCAAGTGGAGGTGGTGATGGTGATGATGGTGATAGGGTAGTAGAGGTGGAGTTAGCAGTGGTGGCGGTGGTGGTTGGGTGGTGGAGGTAGAGGTCACGGTAGAATGGTGGCATTGGTAAGACTCTAATTTGAATAACGTTTTTCCACCTTTTAATAGTAGAAAATATTTTGTATTGACTACCATTTTCAGTCAAACTCTAGAAAATGCAAAAAAATATTTTCTAGAAAATACATGCTGCCAAAACATATAGAGCATTAATTGGTGTGGTGTGAAAGTGAAACACACCCAAAATAAATATAATTTGTACATCTCAAATTCTTGATACTATTGTTGATATTATTTTCTGGGTGCATAGGCATTGGAACAGCGAAAGGAATCCACTTGCATCAACTACTCATTTCATAACTAAAAGCAAAACACAAATCAATAAAACAAGCAAAACTTCAGAATTCTAATCCATGTCAAGCAAGCAAAACTTATAGTGACATCCATTCAAATGAAGTTTTGAGAATTGAAGACAGGTAAGGAAACTTACAGGTGATGATAGAGAATGAAAAAGACCAAACAAGACCCCATTTGATATATATTGCTGAAGTACCATTCACTCATCCTCCTCATCTCCATCTCCATCTCCATCTGCAGCCTTCTTAGCAACAGCCTTTTGGTTCTTTCGCTCGACTCTTCCAGGGCATCCACCTCCGAGAGGACTTATAAGAGAGAAACCACCTGAAGGAGGGTAGGTGAGTCCCCCCTCACCATGAGGGCGGGTATATTAACCACTTGCCTCCCAAACCTGGCAGAAAGAAAGGAATATCTATGATGCAACATCTTCAGATTTCAAAAACTACAGAACATTTAAAAGAGTAATACTATGAAAACCATATAACAAACAACCATATCCAGATGTTTCTGCGAGAAACTCTTAGCGGACAGTACTGGAAACCCGTACAAAATAGTTAAATTTGCAGCATTATATAATGCATAAGAGCAACTCCACTGGTCATTGCCAAAGCTATAATTTGGTATGTTAAGTGTCAAAATGTCAAATTTTAAGAACATTGCTCCATTGATGCAAATGCTTTTTTGTCACATAAACGCCATATGCCAAATCTGGTCATGCACAGTACATCAATCATAGAAGCGTGTCTAAATAAAATAGAAGTAAAATCCAATTAATCCACATGATTCATGCTGGAAACTAGTTTCTAGTGAAATTCAAAAAACATACCGAGCAAATCACAATATACTAAGGTCTCGTTTGGGAACCATCTTTTTTAGCCAAAAAGCGAAAAAGTTACTAAATTAGCCAAAAAGCCAACAATTCATACAAAAAAGTCAAAGATTCTCTTTTCTCTTTACTTTTTGCACATCTTTTCGTAATTAGTCAAAGTCATCCCAAACATACAAGTTTTTTTTACCTACCTTTTTAGCCAACTAGCCAAAAAATTACTAAATTAACCTGTTCCCAAACGAGGCCTTAGTTGGATTTTACAAATTTTAAATTCCTTTGACTTGTATTCAATTCCAATGTTAAGATCATAGAAATCCTACTTAGGCCTCGTTTGGGAACAAGCTAATTTAGTAACCTTTTGGCTTGGCTAAAAAGGTAGGTAAAAAAAACTTGTATGTTTGGGATGACTTTGACTAATTACGAAAAGATGTGCAAAAAGTAAAGAGAAAAGAGAATCTTTGACTTTTTTGTATGAATTGTTGGCTTTTTGGCTAATTTAGTAACTTTTTGGCTAATTGGCTAAAAAAATAAGTTCCCAAACGGGGCCTAAATCACAGCATAATTCAAAACCAACACATGAGAATTTCCAAAATGCCTTTTTTTCTAAAAATAATAATAATTGTTACATACAGGTTCAAAAATTGAGTAAAATAGTAAGGCACCTTGGCTTTAATAAAGAAAGAAATAGTTGCGAAGTACCTGATATGCCTCTGCCTAATGAGCACATAGGTATGGTGAATCGACTTAGCCATGCCCGTCTTGAACACTACTGTATGAAGGCAGCGCTCAAGGAAACTCTCCACAGTCAAAGCCAAGACATAATCAAGCTTGTTCTGGCTTACATCCAAAAGCCCATACTTGTTCATCCTCCAAAGAAGGGCCCCACCCTCAAAGATCTGGCAAGGATTTTTCTCATTGAGAGCGAGAAGCATCATTGCACATTATGGATACGGCATAGAGCATACTGAACCCTCTGCAACTCCCTCTTACATTGGAGCCCATACTCCCCCACAAGATTCAGCTCGGCATCCAAATGCTCCTTCTCATATGGACGGCGAGGCTTCTTAAAAGTCCTCCCATCAATAAGCACCCAGCGTTATCCATAACTAAGGCAATTTAATCCAAGCAGAGTAACTTGTCTAACATATAAATAAAAAATAAAAAATTGTAATATAGCTTTACTAGAAATCGCTAAATAACTCATGGGAGTAATTTTTTCTTTCTAAATAACTCATCGGAGTAATTTTTTCTTGGGCTTACACCTTACGATATATCTAAAAAATTACACTCCAATTTACTCCAGGTACAATCTTCACATAAAGGCCTAGTTCAAATTAAAATACAACATTGTCCCCTTATGGCCATGTAGTGCAAGTGTACATCCTAAATTGTTTCAGCTAGGTTTTAGGTACCAAACATTACACTGTACACCCAAAATAACTTATATGAGAAACATTAGTTTAAGCCAAGCAAAGTGAGAAAAAGATGATGGGCAAACAGTTCTGTCACAGAAATGATCTAAAATTCAGAGGAAATTTGAGATAGCATTATTTGATTTTTTAGTTCACAAGCCAAAAACAAAAACTAGTAAAAAAATTGCATCCAAACAAGGATTTGTTCCATGCTTAAATAGCCACCTAAAGATGTGATTGACTGAATGATTTACATTTACACCAACTTTGTCTTCTGAATTTCTCAAAACTTAGCTAAAACAATATCAACTACAACATAACAACCTTACACATTGTTAAAACTAGTCTCATCTGCTAAGGAGCTGGGGATACTACTGCTGTGCTGGGCAACCTGAGTGGGTTCTGATTGTTTGGAAAGGATTTGTGATGGCCAAGAATCTGAGGATGATGGATAACGAGCATGTGGTTTGCTTATGTTTGACGGAAGCTTAGACACAGATTCTAAAGTATCAGAATTGTGGTATACTTGGAGGTCATGATGATGCAAGGGAACATATAGAGGACCCAAAACAGTTGCTGGCTGCGATGCATGGTCAATTACAGGTATGATAAGTTGACCTTCCTTGAACTGTGATGCAGTGTCATGATGTGATCGCGAGTGATGTAACTCCCACGCAGAATTAGAATGAATCCTCTCTTGTACCTCACTATTCAGCTCCTCAACCTGACCTTGAAGGGTAGAATTTTCCTCTCTCAGCTCATTCGTCTCGGTACTTACCTGTCATCAAATATCCAAACAACTGATATCTTATACAATCAATATATAATTGCACTTATCAAATACAAATATTTATTGCTTCATGCGCTAAAATCCAGTTTTCCACATTAAGGCGTATTGAAGGAACTATTAATTCCTTCTGTCAATCATTTTGAGGAATCTTGTGCAACTAAATTGTTTTCTTGAAATCCTATGGTCTAGGCTTCTTACAACGCAATGATTCAATGAAGATTAAAACCTTCAGTCCACTGGAAACAAACTCACATAGAATCCACCATACAACAATAGAAGAACATGGGGTATTCATGCCTGTTAATAACCATCAAATTTTCCTTGAAGCAAATAAAAGGAGATTTTGGTCCTGTATGTTTTCCTTCAGGAAAAAGAAAATTAAGTTGCCAGAGAAAAGCAGGTTGAGATTTCAGGAAGCTTACATAGTGAGATTCGGATAAAAGAGTTGTGTTTTCCATTTTGAGACAGTCAACCTGAGCAAGCAGGTCACGTAGTAGTCGAGTAGCGTTACTCAATATAGAGGCCTTTCCATTGTTCTCATGAGATGGGTCTGGATAACAAAGATGGCGAGATAAACTAAGAACCATCCCTTTAAAACATGTAGGGGACTATAAACAAGGCAGCACTAATCAACTTGGACAGATGCATCAACATTAAGCATCATGCAACAAGAAGTAAATTGAACATGAAAAGATTACCAAGGGTGTTGCCGAGCTTGAGAAAAAGATCATTCAAATGATCACGTTTTAGTTTCTCCCTCTCAGCTTTATGAATCTTCTTTGGAACTTTCCTTGGGTTCTTTTTGCTGCATGAAGACCTGAAACATGATAGCTTTCAAAACGACAGAAAAAACAGACAACAAAAACACTCACAGCAGTATAATTTCATATTTAAGCTAAAGCAGACTATTGGAGATAAATGTAATGCACTTATTTAATGTACACTCTTTGGTTTATCAAGAATTGGTGATAAACAGGAGAGGAACACCTAAAAGACGTGATATTAATCCCTAATCTATTGCAGTTAAAATGTTGGAGATGCTCACTAATAATTAGCTTTATATGATTTCCTAATGCATATTAATTTTACAAACTTAATGCATCATGTATAATCAATAGGTATTACGGAATAAACTTGCAAAGTACAAATCTTCTCAATCTTAAATTTGTTGCACACCCCTCCAAGATACCTACTCCGCTATGTTATGGAGGATGACATTTCTAAGGATGTGAATGTGCAAAAGTCTATAAACCCCCATATATCTTTTTAATAGTGACTTAAACAAAAGTAGATATCCACATCAAATGTTTCCTGGATTCTGTTATTGATAGCATTGATGGATTCAAGAATCCACCCCCCAAACAAGATAAAATGTTAGATGTTGGTAGAAAAGTCAGATTATAACAAAGGGCGATATCTCACCACACCCTCAGCATTAATGGATTCAAACTATTTACACCACTAGAAAACTTTGATTTTGTATGTGATGAAGAACTCAAACGTTCAATTTCGGATGAATAGAACTCAGTAAGGTTAGACTAGTGAACACAAATCAATATCTGGAAAATTCTATGCACCAACCTATACAAATGATTATGTATGGTGCTGATTATGGACAGGTGGACAGTCAATTAATACATAAGTAATTTCAATCCATGTAACAACATAATATGTACTGTGCAAGATAATTCTTTACAAAAGGTAGTTTTATATCATATACAGCCTTTGTAACCTGTGGTTTTCAATTAACGTTCAAGTTCCTCAATCCTCAAAACCAAATTGTTTCTAATATTGAAACTATTTAGATTCTTCAGCCTCCGAAGGTGCACCTATGCATATGAAAGATCAAAACAAAAACTTCAACTCTCCTACCATGACCACGCTAAGTCAGGGGAAAATCAACTCTAACCACCAACTATCTAATATGAGTGCAGCCTTGACTTGTTTGTTTTAGGATTTCATTGCCATGAATGATCACTTTTCTCCTCTTTCCCATTGAAACTTGTAAATGGAAATCTTTATAAAATGCTTGCCCTTAAAAAGTTAGAAGTACATATCTTGAACAACTGACCTGATAATTGGTTCCTCTGACACCACATTGTTATCATCACTTGATTCAACAGAAGCCTCTGAAACCATGCTCATCTTTCTATACCAACTAAATTCAAATTCCTACATGGCAACAAAGAAACACCCTGAGCAAACAAAACCCACGAAGCTTAACAAACATACAGTTGAAATTCAGGCAACCAAACAAAATTCGAAGCAGGGAAAAACTTAAATCCTTCTAAATCTTAGTATGCTCAACTCAACCATCAATTTACTTGCATTCACATTATATAAAACTCTGATCTATTGGTAATAAGCTTCCATGAAACTATTAGGAAGTTCAAAGAAACCATTTACAAATACAAAAGCCCCTTTGGATTTGTGTCTTGTTTCCCACCAAATAATTAAATGAGAATAATAATATTTCCAAAAATTCACTGGCTTGTTTTCAAGCTTTCCTTAATACCAAACATCCACAATGAAACTTAATTTTAAAAAGGGACAAATAATTTAAATTTTCACAAAACTATCCTGCCATGACTGCAATTAGAGCATCTCCAATCCTTCATCTTTTCTTTCATCAAATTTAAATTTGATGAAAAAGTACTCACAAATCACCTCCAATCCTTTCATCAAATGTTCATCAAATCAATGGAGAGTCATTTTTTTCATCAAATTTAGATGAAGCATTGGAGATGATTTTTTTCCCCCCATAAAATTTGATGAAAAGGGAAATTTGGGATAACAGGGTAATTTTTAAAAAGATTTTGATGAAAATTTGTTGAAATTATTAGAGTAGTTAATATCAAATCAAATTTTTACTCAATTTAGAATCAAATCAGATGAAAAAATTGGTGAAGGGTTCCTATAAAAACACACACACAGTGAAATTGAATTTGTCGTTGGGAAGTAGATTTGGAAACAATGAACAAATAATTTATATATGCTTACGTATTCATGTAGGATGACAAAGCATGGAAGAAATGGATAAACCCTAGCATCGCAAATGAAGAAGTTGAAAGCAGTGAGGCATACCTTGGGAATTTGAGAGAGAAAAAGCAATAGAATAGAATGGAAGAACAAAGTTGAGAGAGGTTGAGAAGATGAGAGATGATACTACTACTACTACTGTTCTTCTTGGATAAAAAGCTAGGGTTGTGTGTTGTGAGTGAGTGAGTGTGTGTGTGTGGATCTAGGGCTCTTGGACCAGCAAAGGAGATGGCCGGAGTATATATTCCACGCAACGGCGTGTGTCTACCGCCTGCTCCTTACAGGAACCACATGAGTACGTCACGTGTTCCACTTGTGGTGCCGTATTGCTAATTGACAATAATACCCTCCTCCTGTAACTTACAAATCATTCACCATAAGTGTGACCAAAAAAAACAAACCCTCCCATCTTGTGGAGTGGATCTGTTTGGGTTGTGTGTTCACCACGACAACCATTTTAATTATCTAAATTATTTATTTTTTAGATTATAGTGTGTTTATTATTTATAAAAAAAAAATTTATTGATTTAATAATTATAATTATATTCATTCGTGATATTTATTTGTAAAAAATAAAAGAAAAACTAACTTGGCTAATCAACTTGATTTTTTTTTATGAACAATCTACTTATTGTAATATAAAAAAATCAACAATTTAAATTATCAATACAGAATTTGTGATAGCCCCAGTGAACCTAAACAACATGTCTAGTCCACAAACACATGCTAAATCAACAACAACAACAACAAAAATTATTTAACTTTGCTTAAATTTTGTAGGCTCCAAAATAAAAGAAGTAAAATTTATTTTATCCTCTTAGGTCATGTTTGTTTGGACGGATTAGATTAGGTTGGATTAGCATTCTCATGACTAATCGTCCTAGAATTACGAATTCTTTTAAATTATGTATCTTATCTTATGTTTGGATTGAGTTAGGATTGCAAGGATATTCAGATTTTGGCTTAGTCCTCCAATTTATATTTCACCCCCCTCTGTGGGATGAATAGTCCATCATATGTAGGATACCATATTCGGATGGATTGTTAGGCCATACTTCAATTGTTTAATCAAACATCGAATTAATAATTTTATTGGACTATTAATCCCATCTCAAGCTCTTATTCACCCAAACAAACACGGCTTTATAGTTGAGGCCAAAGCATTGTTCCCTATGGTTCAAATATAGATAGAAAATGTAGTTTTGAACTAAAATGCAACCGTTGACACCGTTAACTATAGTTATAAAATGATACTTTTTTTTGTTATTTTTTGTCTCTCTCATCTCTCATACACATAATTTATAATGTCTAATATTAATTCAATCAAATCACAATTAATTATAAATTCTTAATTATTTATTGTAATTCTTCTTTTTGTTATTCTAATTTTAATTTAATTATTTTAGATCACAATTAATTTTAAAATATTTAATTATATATTGTAATTCCTAACTTTTTACTTAACACAATGCTATTTGAACTGTTATCTTTTTTCTAAGTATTTATATTTAGTTTTTAAAAAAAAATATATTGTATTTGCAAACTACACTTTTACATAGAAAATGAAAAATAAATTTATTTGTGCTTGATTTGCGACACTCCCACTCCGAGTCCTAAATTTCTCAAGATGTACCAACAAACAAACAGTAATTTTGAGGGTGAAATTTTAGTACCTTTTTAATAAGTGTGATGAACAGTTCAACATTTATATTGACTCTGTTGTGATTGTTGATTGCTATAGTTTAACTTTTTTCACTTATTAATCAAAAAAAAAATTGATAGTTGAAAAAATTTTGATTCAATAAAAAACCACAAGAGTAAAATAGCAAAAAGAAAGACAATGTGTAATAATGTAGTTGATTAAACCAAATAATGTTGATGGTAAAGATTAAGGATTAAACCAAGAAAAAGAGGGAAGATAAAAAGATTTTAAAAAATAAATAAATAAACTAAAAGAGATGAAGAAAAAAAACTCAATGCGAAGAGATTGATTTGGTTAAATATGGTTTTTTGAGGTTAAAAATTTGCAATGTACAAGACATAGCATATGTTTGGTGTGGATTATAGGAATGATCATACCTTATTTTAATTTAGGAATCTGTGCCAAATTGTTTGGTGTAGTTTCTGTTTACAGCTTCTTAGGCAGAAATAGCTTAAATAAGTTGAGAAAAACTAATTATTTAAAAGTTGAAAAAGGGGTACTTTTGATTTTTACTTTCTGATTATCAACTTTTAACTTATAATGAATTACACCAAACATCACCGTAGGTATGGTTTGGGATCTCCTTTTTAGAGGCTTTTGTTTTTTTATAAGGGGACAGAAGCTATAATATTTGAAAATAACTTTTTTAATTGTATGGAAAAATCGTAATTAGCTGACGTATATAACTTATTTTTTATCTTAAATTCTCATTGCCTTTAGTAGAGAATCAAGTCACAGTACAAAACTAAGGATACGTTGATCTTTTTACATTGATACTTAAAAACTTTTTTTTTTTTAGATGGTTCGGAAATGATAACAGAAAGATCAAAAACAAACAAAGAGCTAAAGAGGGCTAGACCCTCTCATACACGATGCCGACCATATCAGCCACAAGTAAAGGTCTAAGGGATTGTAGAGGGTCATCATACACCTCCAGGTCCACAGCTTGAGCAACTCCTAAACGGGCAAGTTCATCAGCACATTTGTTCCCTTCACGATAGATGTGTGCAATGGCACATTCAGTGCGTTGGAGAAGTGCCTTGATGTCAAAGAGAAGAGCTCTAAATGGATAGCGCTGAAACTGTTCATCTGGGGTGGAAATCTGGTTCATAGCCACTTGACAGTCTGTCTCTACTTGGATGTCTCTCCAACCTTTCTCCAGAATAATGGTGAGGCCTCGATAAATTGCCCACAGTTCTACCTCTAGACTAGTTGCAGATTCCAGCTTTCTAGTGTAGCCTAACACCCACTGTCTTCTTTCATCTCGAAACAGATCACCAAAGCCTCCTTGACCTGGTTCATCTTTAGCATAGCCATTCGTATTTAATTTTAGTTTACCTGTATAAGGAGGCAACCAAGCAATTAGTTTGGGGACACGGTGATCAGTGGCAAGGGGAGACATTAAGCTTCATGAATATTAGAGGCATATTGGAAGGCTTGGAAAATGCTATGAGAAGCATTACCATCCACATTGGCAAACACTTTATTATTTCTATCCTTCTAGATTTGCCATAACAGAGCAGCAAACCAAGTCTTCCAAGGGATGCCTCTAAATTCTTGTTTGTTATCCTTAAGATTGGATACAATCCAATTCTCAAAGGTAGTAGATTCAGCCTCCTTTTGCCATTGATCATTTCTAACAATCTTCCAAATGTTCAATCCCAAAAAAGATGGAGTAGATCTTCGCAATGCATATTGCAACAGGGACAAAAAACATTTTCCGCGAGTCTTCTAACAACCCTTATTTGATTTGTAAGCAATTTATTTTGCAAAATGAGCCAGAAAAACCCCTTAAGTTTTTGGGGCAACTTGAGTTTCTAAATCCATTTCCAACTTACTTCAGGGTTCCCAGCCTCAGTGATTAAATCATAAGTTGAGGTAGAAGTGAAAGAGCCAGTGGAAATGCCTACCCAGCAGGGTTTATCAGGTAAGTTAGTGAGTCTAGGCGGGAACACACTTTTAACGCTGGTAATATCCTGAGGGGTTAAAAAATTCTCAACACTACCAAGGTCCCAACTCAAGCTATTATCAAAAATGGCGGTGACAGTTGTGTCATCACAGTGATTTCCAGGAGAAGCGTCTGCCAGAGGTTGATTGCCACACCACCAATCTTTCCAAAGTGACACTGTAGCTCCATCCCTAATGGCCCACTTAATACCTTTTCTAAGAACATCTTTAGAATGAACAATACTTCTCTAAATATGTGAGCTACTCTGCTTGGTAGACCAAGTGAACAGGTTGTGATTTTGTAAATACTTACTTAAAAACTTTTGACAACCAATATTATACACAAATTTGTTGCGTTGAATTTTTAACTTTTAAAACCAAGTCCATAAGACCTTTAAGTCCTATCTTTCTTGGTAGCTCTTCCTTCGTAATCACTAATATTTGTTCATAAAATAGAAAGTTATTACACAGATGTGTGTAAATTAAATAAATAATAAAATAAAAATAATTCTGACAATAATTATACAAATTATTTTCTGAATTAAATGCTTACAAAAATTAGTGTCGAAACTTGAGTTGAACACAATCTCCTTAAAGTAGATTTCGCCCTCACTCCAGTGTTTGCAAAGACAAGCAAACACAATATTAGTCCAGTTGATAAGCCACAAGTTTGGAGACAAGCAACAAAATAGCAATCAACAAGCTAAAATTAAAGCAACAACAATTTAAAGGCTTTGCACAATGTAAAGGCAAAATGAACTTTTCATTACTCAAAAGAAGGCATTATAAAAGTTGAACAATGCACAAAAGTTGCCTTGCCATAAACAAGGTTAGGGTAGTGGGCTTGGGTTGTTCATAGTGGGGCTATAGCCTTTATGGGCTTACCCATGTCAGGGCCCATCCCAAGTATCTCAAGTTAAGGTATATAAATCCATTTAAAACCTTAAGTCTTTCCAATGTAGGACAAGCACATTTCACAAATGAATAAGAAACTCATCTAAAACCATTCCACGAACCTAAAAACGTGTATTGAATTCTCATTCATCCATAAATGATTTTGGGCAATCAAATATACGATTTTATTCACTACGCGACATTAAAAATGAATTAAATTAGAAACGTTAAAAATAACGCTTGAATCTCACCTTAATTAATATTCGAAGTGAACCAAAAAAATAAAATTATACAAAAAGTCGTTTTCCAACAATTAAATGATGTAAGCATCGGCAATAAACCTCTTGTACGAACACTCATCAAAATAAGAGAAGACAAAATAAAATTTTAATATTATGCAGAAATCCCTTTCATATAAGGAAATTTGAGAGCATTGCTTGTCTTTAGTATGCCATTTGTCTAAATTGGATTGTAGAGTATATTTAAGTGTTTTTTCCCCCTCTTTGTGGCTGCTTTAGACCCTCAACCATATAAAAAAAAAAATAGAAAATTATTTTGGGTATGATTTATTTTTTGATTTTATTATTTATTATAAAAAATATGTATAAAAAAATAGAAAGTTAATATGATAGAAAGAAGCCAATAATCAAACATCAATGCCTAATTGTCCTTGGAATAATAATCACATTGTTTAGTTTTAAAAAATTGAGTTGTTATTTTTTGTGTTTTCTATTTTTAGTCAGAAAATTTAGAGGCATTTATTCATAAATCTCTCTTCACTTATTTATGTTTCACTTAGTTCAAATTATTTT